CCTCACATCTGTCATTCTCCCACTGAAAGCTCTTCATGAATTTCCCATGTTTCTTAGGACAGGGTCTAACTTTGTGAAATAAAAGACCTCCAGCATACCCTTCAACCTCACTTTTCCCAACATGCACTGTGAATGTGACTTTTGGCAGCTAGACATTTGTCCACACAATTCCGTCTACACAGAAATAATCTTCTCTGCCCTTAGCATGATATCCATCAGTCCTTCAGTGGAAGGAGTGTTGTTGTTTTTTTTTTTAGGTGTTATTTTTCTCTAGGAATCCATTGTAACTTTCCTCCAGCCCCAAGTCTAGGTCACGTGTCCTTCCATGTGTGTCCACAGTACTCTGTGTGTGCTTATTGCTCCCAAGACACATCACCCTATATAGTAATTACCTGCTTGTCTGTCTGTCTTTGCCCATTTGATATAATCTCTCCAAGGAGAGAAATCCTATCTCCTTCTCTATTTAGTTCCAGGGCCTAGACATATCTCGCATATAGTAGTAACTTAATGAACATTTGTGGGATAAATGAATGGCATGAACATTGAATTTGAAGCAACTTATGGTGTCTAATCAATTAAATATTTTTAAAGTTGTTGCTCATACATGACAGACTACAATAAGATAAGCTCTTTGTACAAGTTTCCTAGAAATGGATGGCATCTACCTCTAGAAGTTTCTACAGTAGGTCCTTGGGTTACATCGGCGATCCATTCCTCTGGCATGACATAATGCGATTTTCGCCATAAGTGGGAACCCACCTACATAAGCACCTATGTCACTCACATGGAGCATATACACAGCAGTAATGAAGTGAAACAGTAAAACAAATTTAAAAGAAAGATAACAATTCCTGAGTTTTATTTGTGGTAAATAAATAATAAAAAACATAAAGCACATATGTACATGCGTCGAAATGATGGAACTTTTTTTAAATAAATAAATGGGAGATGGTGACATAACCATAAAACAATGTACATTAAGGCTGATGTAACCTGAGGACTGCCTGTATTCTAAAGTGAAATCTAATTACTAGGCATTCCAAAATGTTGTACATGATAACAAAGGCATCTATAAAATTAGAGTTAGACATATCTAACCAAGTTTGTATGTAACTTAGAAGAGGGCCAAGAAAATCAGTAAATAGTTATCTAAGAATAATATTATCAGAGCAAACTGAGTTTATCTTGGGAGATCTTTTAACTTACTAGGCATGTGACCTTAAGCAAGTTATTTAATCTTTCTTTTAATAAGGATATTATGGTCCCAACCTCATGGGTTATGGGTAGAATTAACATCCAGAGTATGTTTATACAATAGTATTCTCAATGCTTATCACATAATTTCCCAATACAAGTTATTTATATTGTTCCTCTAGTACCTAGCATATAATAGATACCCTTTAAATCTTTGAATAAATATTACATAAAACTGACAGAGACAAAGTTGTTGGCTTGCTCAGAACCCTAAAATTGGTGTAACATGACAAGATGGTGAGGGAGTCACTTAATAATGCCCTTTTCAGATAAGGACAAGCCTCTAGTCTGGGCAATGTATTCTGCCAAGTAAGAGTGGAACATTTTAGCAGATATACACACACAAAATTCCACCCAAAGTTGTAAACATTCTTACCATTAATATCAAAGAGAATATATGAAATTATTATTTAAAAATTTTTCCAATAATTTTCAACAAACTCATTTAAAGAGTCTAAAAATCATAGGAACTTTCATAGCAATAGACTGTTGTAATAATTCTAGAGTTAAAGGACAAGAATATAAGTATTCTTGAGTGGCAAACCATATGATAGAAAAACTTGTTACAAAAGAAATATATTCCTTCTTTTAAATGCATCCATTAAATACCTTTTATACTTCTATTTTACACTTTCAAAAACCTTCTTTACTTCAATAGGTCCCAGGCATTAAAACACCTGGTCAGAGCACTGTCCTGAGCAAGGAAGGGTCACAGGTTCTGTTCCTGGTCAAAGGCATGAACCTGGGTTGCAGGTTCAATCCATGCCTTTGTCAGATCAAGTGTGGGAGGCAACCAATTAATATACCTCTTTCACATTGATGTCTCTCTCTCTCTCTCTCTCTCTCTCTCTCTCTCTCTCTCTCTCTCTCTCTCTCTCTCTCTCTCTCCTTCTTTCTTTTTCTTCCCCTTCCTCCTTTCCACTTTCTCTAAAAATAAATGAAAAAATATCCTCAGGTGAGGATTAACAACACCAAAAAAGAATACGAAACAGTCTTGTTTACAGGAATTAACAGGTGGTAGAGATGGACAGATAAACTGGGTAACAATGCAATGTGATAAATTTTGTTACAGTTATATGCAGCTGCTGTAATGGCCATAGGAAAGTTAGGAAAGACTTCCCTTAGAAAATTTCTCCTTAGTGGAGTTCTAATTTTGTAGAGGGCAGTAAGGAAAAGTTGTAGAGGGAAATGAGGAAAAGATATTGTGGGAAGAGGGGAGGTAAAAATAGTATGATATGTGTTTGTATGTGGGGGGAGGGGGCGGTTCCTTCTTACAACAAGCTGTACAATGTTGATAGAGTGGCAAGAGATGAGACAGGAGAGAAAACAGGGGCCAAATCCTGGAACCCCTCAAATGATACACTAAACATCTTAAAATTTATACTGAAAGCGATAAAGAGCAGTGAGATGTTTCATGTCAGGGAAAGATGCCAAGAACATATATGCATTTTATATAAAGCATGTATGTATATTCTAAATAAAAAGTAGAAGATATTAGAAACTTCCCCAATAGGAATTTACACTTAATTCTTATTCACCTTATCAAACTATTTTTGTAAATCTTACTTTCCTTAGACCACTAGTTTTCAAACCTGCATGTAAATCAGAATCACAGGAGGGGTTGTTAAAACACAGACAGTTGGGTAAAGTTTGGGGCCTGATTTTGCATTTCAAGTCCCAGACTCATGCTAATGAAGCTTATCCTTGCCTATCCTGTGCATACCACTGCTTTAGACTATGTTTTGGCTTCCTTATTATTGATTTTGTTCCCCAAACAACTAATTTAATGTCTTTTCTTAAAAAAGGTACTCATGACCTATTTTCAAATTAAAAAATGATGGAATAAAAAAATTCCAAGTGGAGAGGAAAACATGTTAAGCAGGATAGCTTTATTTCTCCTTCATTGGAAATTACTCAGAGTGTACTTTTCACTGAAGGTGAGGACAGGTGACTGCGTTTCCCAGGGCATTGGAACACCAGGGCACTGGAACACGGAAGTGGCCTTGCTGCAGCAGAGCAGAAACACCCGGCACTCTGGAGCACAGCAGTGAGCTGCTGGTTGTTGGGGGCCTGGCCCCACAGCTGACTCAAGGCTGTGGAGCTGTTCACACTAATTGAACTTCCTTTCTCCACTGTATACCAAACTGGGGTTCCCGTTGGACTTTGAATTGGCAGTGGACATTCCATGGCACCCAATATGGGGCTCTGAAGCAGCTACCAGATCTCTTGACACTCCTCTGTGCCTGAATTACCCCTGTGCTTGAATTGTGTTCCTGGTGGCACCCAAGGATTTTGGGAATTGTGCACTGTGACTAATTGAATTGAACTCAAGGCTAACCTTTATAACACCCTTTATTACTGTTATTATTATTACTAGAAGCCTGATGCACAAAATTCATGTAAGAGTAGGCCTTCCTTCTCCTAACATTCCTTCCCCCAGCTGCCAGCACCTGCTTCCCTCTGACACCTGGGACCCAGGCTTCCCTTGCAGCCCCAGCTTTGGTCATCCAGAAGGATTCTGGACTAATTAGCACATTATGCTTTTATTATTATAGACTACCATTCCTAACATTTAGAGTGGTTAAATGTTAGATTCAAGGTCAGATATCCTTCCAATGGGAAAAATGGGCTTGAAGCCCAAATTATCTGATCTGGTTTAATACTCCCTCTGGAAAAGCCTGATTTCTAGCCTCATATAAGCCCTCACCATGGACAGATGCAGAGGCCACAAGGAGCTATTGGGCTGACAGTTGTTTAGAAACCCCCAATCTTGGGTAGAACTCCAAGGAGAGGATGAGAGTTTAGAATGTGAGACCCTTGAGGGCAGAATTAATGGAGGCCTTCCCTATGCAGTACTGTGTGCTTCAGAACTGTGGCAAGTAGTCTACCGTTATGATAGGGTATAGTTATGGACTCGCCATCTCTTGTGGCTGAGATGCTTCGATGGCCTGACATCTGCACAGGGATCATGCTGGAGCATTGAGAAACTGCATCCCAGCAAGACAAACAACATGTTTGCTTTGGGTCACATTAGAGCTAGAAGGACAGGCCAGGATTAAAACTTTTTAGGATGGGGGAAGTGGTAATAAATTAAAGAGTATGGCCAGTGCTAAAATGCCAAACAAATGTACCACTCTGTACATACTAATAATCAAGACAGAGTTACCTCTTCAAACACACAATTGTGCAGGACAAACAATATTTGGGGGGAAAAAACAAAAAAAAAAACAAGTACTCTAGACAAGTGGACCATTCCAAATCAACTAAAATCTCTGGACATAAATTATTACTTGGGAGATAGTCATTTTTCACACATTGGCAAGCTCAACATATTGGCAATCTGATGTACAATAATACCTGCAAGCATACCAAACTGGGCATTTTGATTTTCTTGTCCAAACAACCAAGCATATACTAGCAACCACATGCTCACTTCAACTTAGATAGGGAGAAGGGAACCAGACTGGAATTTCTTTGAGGCCATATCAGGCCAATTTATAAATTCTTTATTTTTTAAGGGATATATAGTTTCAAGAAATGAAAGAGTTGGCCCACTTCAGAAAAGCTGTTTTCCCATCTTGAAAGGGGTGGGTGGATGATAACATTGGAGATCCATTCAAGTCGATATGCACACGTCCCATGAATGGCTAGAGTGTTCCCTCCTAGACCTGGGAGAGCTGCAGAATGGGGAAGGGAGGAGGAACAGATCTCTGGATTATGACGCCCCTCCCCAAACTAGTTCTAGATCAGCTCCTTTTTGACTTTTGAGCTGATCTAGACCTCTTCTGGCTGACACTGAGGTTGCTGTGTTCCTGGAGGGAAGATCCATGCCCTTTGCCCCTTGGGCTGCTTTGGTTTTTCTTCTTTTGATCTCCCTGAGTAGTTCCATGGGATCTTGGAATTGATTTGTCCTTCCACTTCCTACCAGAATGGGAGGGCTTTTTGGTGGGAATTTTCTCCTTTTCCTTCCTAAGGGCTTCAGCTTGGCATTGGGAGACTCTCTGGTCTCCATTCTCTTCACTCTGGTCTTCGTTGTCTTTGCTCTGGCAGGCTGAGACAAAGGGCCCAGCTCCTGGACCTTCCGAGGTCTCTGTAGCAGGTCTACTGGTCATCTCCCCTCCTGCGACCGAACTCACACCGCCCTCGGGTTTTACTGCCGCTGTCTCTGGTACTGCTGCCGGGTCAGGCCCTGCCGGTGCCAGGGTTAGAAAAGACAGTGTGTCCTTAAGCACCAAGTTGTCCCATGAAGCATATTGTTGGACTCCTTCCCCACCAGCATAAGCAAGAGAGGTGGCCCCAGACACCTCAGTGACCACGTGAAGGCTTCTGATGCTGACTTGGTCTTGGGCACCTTCTCCATGGAAATCCACGGCCTGTGCCAAGAGGAGAGACAGGGAAATAGAGAAGAAAAGAAGTGAGACTAGATAGGGCTGTCACCAAGTCCATTCTCTCAGAAATGCAAAATCCCCCTCTAACATCCCCACAAGGGTTACCGCTGCTTTGTTTGGAGAGAACACTAGTGTGACTCACCAGGGAGCATCTTCACACTTTTATTATATGCACTTCTCTTAGCATTTCTACCAAAAAAAAAAAAAAAAATCCCTAAAGGGAGATTGCTAGGCAAAAGCTATGGCCATTTTACATTCTGATTGCTACTAACAAATTGTGCACCTGTGTGTAAAGCATGCTACAATGCCACAGATTTATTCAAAAATTAGTTCATGGCGCAAATAAAGAAAGGGCTTCCTCATAGTTAAAAATGTCCCACAACAGATCAGACTGCCTGAGTCCATAGCAGTATGTGTTACAGAACAGATGCTATTGGCAGCATTATACACTGAGTGGCCAGATTATTATGATTTCTAAATGCATAATAATCTGGCCACTCAGTATATATATATATATATACTAGAGGCCTGGTGCATGAATTCGTTCATGGGTGGGATCTGGCCAGCCTGGCCAGGGAAGGGGACATGGGCAGCTGACCGGCCTGCCTGTTGGTCAAACTCCTGGTCAAGGGGACAATATTAGCCTTTTATTATATAGGATATAAAATGAGTGGCCAGATTATTATGCGTTCAGAGATCATAATAATCTGGCCACTGAGTGTAATATCAGCAATGCGGTCAGAGGAGCTGACATCTAAGAAATCAGGAATATTCAGAAGCATTCGTGCCCCTCCCTCCTGTGCCCACCCCAAATGTGGCAAGGCCTCTACATAGTGACTCCTCTGGCCAGAGCCCTTCTACATGCAATGTTTCCCCAGTCAGCCCAGGAGAGCAGCCCAAGAGCCTTCAGTTGCCCTCCCAAAGCACCCAGGCCCCTCTCTGAGTTTCCTCAAAAACTTATGGCTGACGCCAAAACCAGTTTGGCTCAGTGGATAGAGCGTCGGCCTGCAGACTGAAAGGTCCCGGGTTCAATTCTGGTCAAGGGCATGTACCTTGGTTGAGGGCACATCCCCAGTAGGGAGTGTGCAAGAGGCAGCTGATAGATGATTCTCTCTCATCGATGTTTCTAACTCTCTATCCCTCTCTCTTCCTCTCTGTAAAAATCAACAAAATATTTTTTTTAAAAACAAACAAACAAACAAAAAAACTTACGGCTGGGCTCTTTCTGTCCTCTGCATGGAACATAAGTATGTCCATCATGTCACAAGCTGGTACGGCCTGGGTACCACTGTAAGCCTCCACGGGCGGTCTCAGGAAGAACACCAGGTCTTCCCAGTGTGCAAACAGATCTTCTTTTGCTTTTGAAGAGGAGTTTAATTGTAGGTAAAAAGAGCTGCCACTGGCCAGCTTCAAGTGGAGCTGTTTGTTCTCATGGCTGTGGATGGACAGCTTGACAAGCCTCAAAGGAAGCAGCCTGGTCAGCTCCAAGATCTTCGCTGACTTGAGGCTCTTGCCATGGGTGCGTCGGTCATGTCCCGTGCAGTCCACACAGCTCACAGCCGGTCGTGCCAGCAGCATGACATCAGGTATTGTGAGGTCAGGGCTGGTGTATGCGATGCCCACGGTGACCATCCCCGCATTGTTGTGCATGCCGATCACTTCTCCTCTTTTGTTGATCTGGATGAAGTCACTCTCAAACATGAGAATGTCCTTGAACATGGCGAACTCACCCTTGCCCAGCTGCCGCTGCAGCTTCCCCACGGAGCCCCGGAACATGGGCAGCACGTGGCTGCCCTGCTGCAGCATCATGTTGCCACCCAGGTCCATCTTTCACTAAGACCACTGCATGTCCTCCCCAGCACCTCTGCCTTGGTCCAGGCCACAGCCTCTCACTGGCCACCTGTAAGCTTTGGCTGTCCATTGTGACCTGCGGCCAGCTGTCACACACAGCACTGTGTCCTCATCTCTACAGCTGCCCCCACAGGAAGGGACAGCATCCTCCTGCAAACAGCCACCCCACAAAGGCACAGAGCATACCAAACTCTGATGAGTTTTGCTGTGAAACACAGCTATGCTTCTTCAAGGCCACTTGTTTTCATGCAGCTACCACATGCAGTGATATGTAAATTACTAGCAGTCACATGAATCATGTCCTTTTTTTATATATAAATCTTTATTGTTCATATTATTACAAAAGTTCCTCCTTTTTTATCCCCATCCACCAGGTCCCCATCCCACCCTCTGCCCTTTCCTCACCTCCCATTGTCCTCATCCATAGGTGCACAGTTTATGTTCAGCCTCTTCCCGCACCTCCCACTCCTCTTTTCCCCGAGAATCGTCAGTCCACTCCCCTTCCATACCTCTGATTCTATTATATTCAACAGTTAATATTGTTCATCAGGTTTTTTAATTCCCTTGGTTTTTAGACTCATTTGTTGATAGTTACATATTTGTTGTTCATAATTTTTTAAATATAGATATTTTTAATATATTTTATTGATTTTTCACAGAGAGGAAGAGGGACGGAGAGAGGGATAGAGAGTTAGAAACATCAATGGGAGAGAAACATCAATCAGCTACTTCCCGCACACCCCCCACCGGAGATGTACCCGCAACCAAGGCACATGCTCTTGACTGGAATCGAACCCAGGACTCTTCAGTCCGCAGGCCGACACTCTATCAACTGAGCCAGTTTTAGCATGTTGTTCATAATTTTTATCTTTATTTTCTTCCTCTTCCTAAAGTACCCCCTTCAGCAATTCATATAATTCTGGTTTGGCTTTTTTTTTTAGCTTTTTTTATTTGTGAAACTCTTTATCAGGCCTTCTATTCTGAGTGATAGCTTTGCTGGGTAGAATATTTTTTGGCTGTAGGTTCTTGATATTCATCACCTTGAATATTTCTTTTATTAATCTAGAGAGGTGATACTCATAGGTGACGAACACTTAAAGCTTTCTAAGAATTGAATGTGGTTTGGAGCTTTTGCTTAATGTTTTCTTTCATAGTTATCATAAAATTTCTGTGAGACATTAACTTCAGTCACCAAGTTTGAATTTAAGAATGTACCTAAAGATTTAGCAGGGAAAGATTTTCTAGGAATCTCCTTTTCTTCCTCAAGCCTGCGTTTAGTTGTATATATCTATAAATTGCTTTCTCAAAAACTGAATGATTTGGCTTCTTCCATGTTTTTCTGGAAACATACATTTCTTGTCACTTGCCAAAATAGTCTTTATCAAATATGCAAATGTTAATTAGTCATTATAGAAAACAAAATAAAAGTTATTTACATTCCATTATTCATGTCCTAATCCCTGGAACCTATGGATGTTATTTTATTTGTAAAAGGAGTCTTTACAGATATAATTAAGGCTCTTGAGAAGAGAAGATTGTCCTGGATTATCCAGATGGGCCTTTTTAAATTTTTTATTTTATTTTTCTCATCACCGTTTAGACCCCCAGATCCTCTTCTAGATACTCAACCCCCTCCTCCCCACAATCAGCACACTGTTGTCCATGTCAATGAGTTCTTTTTCTTTTTTTCTTTTTCGGCTCAATCCTCCCACTCTCCACCCCCACTCCCCTGACAGCTGTCAGCCTGCTTTCTACCTATGAGTCTGTCTCTATTAGTTCAGTTTGTTCATTAAATCCCACATACGAATGAAATCATATAGAACTTGTCTTTCTCTGATTGGCTTATTTCATTTAGCATAATGTTCTGCAGGTCTATTCATGCTATTGCAAAGGGTAAAATTTCCTTTATTATGGCTGAGTTGTATTCCATTGTGTAAAGGTACCACAGCTTTTTTTATCCACTCATTTCTTGATGGACACTTGTGTTGCTTTTAAATATAAGCTATTGTAAGTAATGCTGCACTAAACATAGGGGGTCCATATATTCTTTCAAATTAGTGTTTCAGGTTTCTTTGGATAAATTCCTAGAAATGCAATTGCTGGATCATAACACAATTCCATTTTTAATTTTTGAGGTAAGTCAATACTAATTTATACAGTGGCTGCACCAATCTGCATTCCCAGCAATAGTGCACTGTGGTCCCATTTTCTCCACATCTTCACTTATGCTTGTTTGTTGACTTGCTGATGATAGCCATTCTGACAAGTGTGAGGTGATATTTCATTGTGGTTTTAATTTGCATCCTTCTGGTTAATGACGTTGAACATTTTTTTATGTCTATAGGCAATCTGTATGTCCTCTTTGTTAAATGTTTATTCAGGTCCTTTGTCCATTTTTTAATTGGGTTGTTTGTTTTTTGGTGTTGAGTTGTGTAAGTTCTTTATAAATTTTAATTATTAAGCCTTTATTAGATGTATTGGCAAATATACTCTACTATTTAGTAAGTTGTCTTTTCACTTAGTGGATGGTTTCCTGTGCTGTGCAAAACCTTTTTAGTTTGATGTAGTCCCACTTGTTTATTTTTTCTTTCATTTCCCTTGCCTGAGGAGATATATTAGAAAATGTATTGCTAAGAGAAATGTCTGAAATTTTACTACCTATTATCCTTTAGGATTTTTATGGTTTCAAGATTAACATTTAAATCTTTAGTCCATTTCTAGTTTATTGTTGTGTGTGATTTAAGAAACTGGTCTAATTTCATTTTTTTGCAAGTATTGTCCAATTTTTCCAACACCACTTATTGAATAGACTATCTTTACCCCCTTGTATGTTTTTGCCTCTGTTGTCAAATACTAACTGGCTATAAAAGAGTGGGCTCTCTATTCTATTCCATTCATCTAAGTGACTGTTGTTTTTTCATGCCAGTGCCATGCTATTTTGATAATTATGATCTTGTAATATAATAGCATGATTCCTCCAACTTTGTTCTTTCACAAGATTGCTAATGCTACTTGGGATCTTTTGTGGTTTCATATAGATTTTTGTAATATTTGTTCTATTTCTATGAAATACATCATTGGTAACTTGATAAAAGTTGTGTTGAATCTGTAGATTGCTTTGGGTAGTATGAACATGTTAATACGGTTAATTCTTCTTATCCATGAATACAGTATATGCTTTCACTTATTTGTATTTTATTCCGTTTCTTTTTTTTAGTTTTTTGTAATTTTTTTTTTAGTTCAGGTCTTTTACATTCTTGATTAAATATATTCCTAAGTATTTTATTCTTTTTGAAGCAATTTTGAATAGGGTTGTTTTCTTAGTTTCCCTTTCTTATAGTTCATTATCTATATACATAAAAATATAAATGTTTGTTCAAAATCTGTTAAAAATGCAACTGACTCCTGGATTTTTTTTTAATATCCTGCTACTTTACAGAATTCATTTATCAGATCTAGCAGTTATTTGTTGCCTACAAGGGAACAAAAAATAAAACTGCATTAAGTGTTTACTAAGAATGAGCAGAAAAATGGAGGCCAAATAGGCAGATGTGTCTTGCACTTTGTCCTGGAGCAGATAGAAGGAGCAACTAAATCACATAACATCCACCTGGAATTGGCAAATTAGACACAGTTGGTAAGATAGTTCATAGCCAGAAAGGGCAGAAGATGTTTGGAGAACAGTAGAATTCTTCTGGACTGGAGAGAGACAGGCAACCACCGGGCCAAGAGGGACAGAAGGAGGCTGCATTGCACCAAGGCCATGTCCATTAGGGACAGGCATAACATCCAACTGGGGAAAGGAGGTCCACAGTGCTGCTGGAGGTTGGGGATTCTATATCTAAGTCCACATGCACAAGAGGCAAAGTCCAGAAAGGTGGCTTGAGGAGTTGCCTGAGCTGCACAGTGCCACGGGGAGAGACACTCCTAGTTGAGTTGTGTGGTTATTTTGCCTCTGTTTTATCCTTGCTTTTATTCACTAAACCTAGTTCATAGGACCTTTCAATTACAAACACTCACCCGAGGCCGCTGTGCAGGTGGAGGTGCAATTTTGTGGAGTCTGGAGAGAGGCTGTGGAGAGGGCAAGACAGGGAGAGGTGACCAGAAATCCATCATTGAGATATTCCAGACTCTATTAACCTAAGCAGCCATTTTTCTCCTGAAGAGCCAGCCCCTCTCAGCAGCCTCAAGGAAACTAATATAGCCACACCCAGCTATACCTGGAGCTTTTTTTTTTTTTTTTTAATATATTTTTATTGATTTTTGTACAGAGAGGAAGGGAGAGATAGAGAGCTAGAAACATCGATGACAGAGAGTCATCGATCAGCTGCCTCTTGCACACCCCCTACCGGGGATGTGCCCGCAACCAAGGTACATGCCCTTGACCGGAATCGAACCCAGGACCTCTCAGTCCCCAAGCCGATGCTCTATCCATTGAGCCAAACCGGTTTCGGCTACCTGGAGTTTTTTAAAGGAAGCAAAGACTCAGTCCCTTAGGGACCGGTTTGAAAAGTAGCTGTTCAGTCCCAGAAAGAGAAACAGCACCACCCCCACTTAAAGCCCTGTCAGAAACAGTTGCTTGAGTGATGAAGACTGAAAGCAGTCAGAAAGGCAAAGAGGGCAGATTGGTCTACCTGCTTGCAGCCAAGACTGTGGAGACAGACACAGAGGAGCAGTGGATTGCTTGGATCTTCAACTCTGCTGACTACCTAACAAGAAACTAAGAAGTGGCAGACAGAAGACTAGGGCCTTAAACTAGCCCCCATAGGGTATTAAAACTTTGCTAAAACTAACAACATTTTACTTTTTTATTTTTAAAATTATTTTTGTTTGTTTCTTTTTTTGTTTGTTTGTTTTTTAATCTTTTATTTTTTGTATTATTTTTTTCCTTCAATTTGTACTTTTTATTGTTATTTTTTTAATTTTCTTTTTTCCCCTTTCTTCCTCACTTTACCCTTTTTTATTCTGTTTTCTTT